TCCTGTTGGTTTCTTTTAGTTTCACCAGCACTGGCTGAGAGGAAGATGTAAATATTTCGTACATGTTACGCTCATGTAAAAACTAACTTGTGTCGTGTAACACATTTTGATTTAGTAATGTGCAGGTAACACTTTATTTTGAGTGGTCCTTTGTAGATGATCAATAAGCTCTTTATAGATTATCAGTAACACTTCATCACCATATCAGTGAAGTAGCTGTAGTGAAGTATCTGAATACACTGAAGTAAATATCTTGTAGAGGTTCTGTTGATACATTACTTACATTAAGTAGCTGTATTGTTAATATGTTGCTTCCGTTACGCAAAACCTAAACTTACCAACCTTGCCCAACACCTAAGCCTCACCCTGGCCCTAATCCTAACCTAAACCCAAAACCTAATCCTAACCCTAACCTTAACCTCAACCCAAAACCTAATCCTAACCCTAACCCTGGCCCTAATCCTAACCCTAACCTTAACCTCAACCCAAAACCTAATCCTAACCCTAACCCTGGCCCTGGCCCTATTCCTAACCCTAAACTTAACCTCAACCCAACACCTAAATCTAACCCTGGCCCTAATACTAGCCCCAACCTTAAGATCAATTTAGTACCTAATCCTAACCCTCACCCTGGCCCTAATTCTAACCTTAACCCTAACCCAAACCCAAAACCTAATCCTAACCCTCATATGTTTTTGACATGTTACTGATAGTCTGTTTAGTATTTGTTTCATCTAAAAGGAAACACTCAAAATAAAGCGCTAACTGTAATTAACTGCTTACTTATGAACTTGCGTATGGCTGGGGCAGCCGCCCTCTAGGGTGGCGCCACACCTCCAAAAGGCGTGGGGCAAAATGATTGGCTCAAAACATAAAACCTTGGCTGTAATGCAGCCTGGTGGACTAACTATCAGCCCTACGTATAACGTACGTCATGGCTATAACATAATAACACGTCCCTTTGTTTTCAAGAACCGGGTCAGTGCTGCTTATTTCGGCTTCACTGGGCTCTGGTCGCATAGCTAACTTTGCAAGCTAGGATCTCTGAACAATGCAGATCTTCGACACACTTACAAAATAAATATCTGAAATAATCTGAGATTATTAACGCACCCTGAATGTGTGCGATATAATTTCCCATTAGCTTGAACTGAATTTTTTGCAAAAGCTCTATAAAGCTTGCGCAGCCTTGCAAAATCGGCTACGATTCATCGACCTGGATGCTCTGTAAACCTTCACGGGCATTAATCCTGCAGTTGTATGGCAATGACATCAACAGTGGACTAAAGAAATGAACAAAAACTCCATCTCTGTCTCTGTTTGTAAGGAATGTCTGGAAAAGGAAAGGTAGTCACACTCAGACTAAACAAATGTAGCTAAGCTGTTTGTCTTTTTTTTTCGTTCTTCGAAACCTCTTTTATCAACAGTTATAAAAACATATACCAACATTTTCTTCCTTTAACAGCCGTGACCACCGGTTTTTACCCCTTCTGACGTACACAGCACATTTAGGAAAAAGGAGAACACACCCGACACAGGAGCACGGAGCAAGCTAACGGCGCTTTCCAGTGATGGACATCTGGACGGGGGGGCGGAGGGGGCAGTGCATTAGCGTCATCTACACTTCCGTCCATACTGAGTGCGATGACAAGTCCTACTGGAGAAACGCCTCCTCTACGACACAGGACAGAAGACACGTTTCGCTTTTACGAGATTCAGAGTGCACCATGGAAGGGAAGGGAGGGAGGAAAGTGAGGGGAAGTATAATATGGCTGCGTTTTCTAGGCCCGTTCTGCTGCTCTCGCGCCTTCTCTCGGCTCACGTGCGAAAGAGTGACTACCGGTTTTGAAAGAGGATGAAAACAATATTCATATATGAGAGTTATTTACAATATTTTGTCACTACTTCATGTCTCTGAGCACAGATTATCTTAATCAGTGACATTTAGCTTATTATTAATGGCCTTACTATGCTTTTGTGACTGATATTTAGCCAGCTAATGTTAGCTAACTGTCTTATCCAAGATTCAACTAGCTAGCTCGCATATATAATGCAATTTGTTTATATTTTTAGCTCCACGGTGACTCTTTCTGTGTTTCAGTGCACATTACGTTACAAAAAAGACTGAAATAGCAGGGCACCAATAAATTAGCAAAGAACTAAATAACAGCTAGGTAGCTTTTTAACCTTAAGTTACCATTGGTTGGCATTAGCTAGCTAACATTAACTTAATGTTAGTCAACAAGCTAGATGTTAGCCAAAAAAGTTTAACTAGCTAGCTGTTAGCTAACGTTGGCATTATCTAATGCTTATGTTATCTAATACTGAAGCTTGAAATTCGGGATTTTCCACCTCCGACTAGGAAAAATGTGAGAAAATGACTTATAATCAGCTGGGAATTCCTACGCTGAAAGTCAGGATGGTGTTCTTAACTCCGACCTCAGCATATGACGTCAAATCATTCACACTGTCGATAATAATGAAGAGCCACTTTGAAATGATATTTGATTTAGATCAGACAGTACTTGGTTAAGTCTATAACACTGACTATAAAATTAACTGTTTTGTGAAGGTAAATAGATCATGAACTTCAATGTTATCACTTGTAGCACGTTAGCTGGCTAACTAGTTGCTATCACTTGCTGTCGCTTTCATGGAGGCGTCCATGTTTTTCCGACTTTGTAGTGAAGGGAAAAGGTCGAAAACTTCCGACCTTGGAGCCAAGTCTAATGCAGCACACGATGCAATTAGCTCGCTAGCATAGTTCATGCTAATCATGTGTATTTTCAAAACACCCAAATTCAAAACACTGAGCAGTTCCAAAATAGATCAACATAAAACACTATGTTGGACATTAAGTAGAAAATATACGTCACGCATTCTCCAAGTGTCTCATTGAATTCGGACTTGATCTCCCAAAATCCTCGGGGAGATCCCATGACTTCAAAACAGCCGACAAACAATGATAGTCATCCGGACTCAAACTCCCAGAACTCTCCGGGAGGTCACCTGACTGACCACATGACTGAGCGCTCCTATCTGCGCTCTCGCTCTCCTGAATACTAACTAATGTCACCTGTGTTATTGATCATATGACGAATCTAGTGTAGTATATAAGCCCCGGCTTTAGAACAGGGAAGTCGTGAGGTTTTGCATCCGTTGCTGTGATCTACTGAGCGTTTATTCCTGTGTATGTATATCGTGTCTGACCTTTGCCTTTGTTCTTTGACTTTGCCTTTTTGCCCAGCCCTTCGGATTGTTTGCCTGATTTTGGATTTTGGACTTTGACCCTCTGCCTGTGTTTTTGACCACGTTTTTGCCTTTCCCTTTTCGGACAGTTTGCCTTGTGTTATGTTTGTGATTTTGTCTCTCATCTGTTTTCTGGAATTGACCCATGCATGTTTTATGACCACGACCTTGGACTGTGAAGATCCCAGTAAAGCCTCCTTTGTGTTTGATCTCTGCAAGAGTCTGAATCTGTTCGGCAGGTACAATATACAATAATTAAAAATTATTTAACATTATTAACATTAGCCAATATACTGCTAGCTAACATTAGCTTAATGGAAGTCAAAGAGCAAAATTTTTATTATCTAGCTAATGTTAGCTAACATTAATGTTATCTAAGATGCACTTAGCTTGCTAGCACATCTAATACAAACCATGAGTATTCAAAGCTCTGTTTATTTTAAAAAATGACAGTAGCAGATTAAGAAATTGGCAAATAACTAAATAACAGCTAGTTAGTTATTTAACATTGCCGCTAGCTAACGTTTACCACTGAATGTTAGTTAGCTAGCTAGCTGTTAGTCACAACAGTTCCCAGTTAGCAAAATTTGTCTGGCTCACTTGTGGGCCACATCCTTGGTTTGTTCTGGCCCAGTTTACGGCTGGGTCCTAGGCCCAGATCTGGCCCGCACACTGTAAAGTGAGTTGAACTAAAGTATATGGCCCAAATCTGGTCCCAATCTGGCCCAACTACACTGTTGGTCCACAATATTTAAGCCAGAATTGTCCCACAAATGTAGAAACAAAGAAAAAAGGTATGAAGCTGTCTAAGATCTGGCCCTGTTCTGGCCCGCATGCCTAACATCTACCCCATAGTCAACCAACACTCACATAGGAAAGCCAGAATCGGCCCAAAACTGCCTGCTATCTGGGTTTAACGTCAAACTGTTAAAGTGTAAGTTTTACTGTAAAAAAGAACATATTGAAGATTATCCAAACAAACTGATCACATCTGCGCATGCGTGGAGCTCGAAGAGCCACGAGAGCAGCACTAGCGGACCGTGCGACTAGCGGCTGCAGCCATATGTTACCGGGGTCAGGGGTCAGGGATAAAGGGGAGGCGCCAAGACATGTCATACACAGGATCACGGTGACAGACACAGACGCACAGGCATACGCACAAACAAACAAATAAACAAACACGCACGCACAAAGGAAACAAACGAACAAACAAATGCATATCAGTACAAAAAGGAGCACTCCCACGAACACGTAGGTACACGGAAAAGTAAAAGGAGCGCGGATGCGTGTGTCCTTCCGAAGATGAAGATGATCTCCTCTTTTGTTTTGCTTGTTTTTTTCTTTTTTTGTCTTCTTGAGATTCAAACAAAAGCGGCCTGAGAGAAGGGAACGAAAAAATCATCCTGAAATGGTACAAAAATAAAATACTATGGCAGAATCCTTTCCTCCGAAGGATAGACTTCCAGCAAGTGCGTCCTACTTAGGGTCCTCCGGTGGAGTTAAATCAATCACAGCTCTTCTCGAGAGTCCTCTGGAGTCCACCAGGACAGGTCCCTCGGCACGCACACAAAGTAGTCCGGTTCCCTTCTCCAAGAACAGTCATCGCTTACTTTTGGTTAAAAAAAACAGAACAAATACCAACAACAACAACAACAAAAAAATGGGTCGTTTCTGGTGAAGATGATTATCGAATCGAAAAAATAGAAAAATAAAAGCTAATTTAATCTTAATGAGGAAAAAATAAACACGTGGTAAAAATGCAGTAGGCAGGAAGGACACATTTCAAGGTTGCGCAACATGCTTTGGCCAATGGGTCCGTCCTCATTCTTCTCTCTCCTGATCCGAGCGACAACAGATAAAGTAGTCCGCCTCTCTCGAGAGAAAAGAGCGACGAAGGGTCTCCTTCGCCGCACGCGCTTGTCCCGAAAATCTACGTGACAGCCTTTTAACTCACGCGCTCGCATTCACACGTACACAAACACATCCTAGTGGTCCGTAGTGAGGCGTCTTATTGTCCTCCTGATTACGTTTGCAAGTTTTTAAAAATCTTTTTTATATTTTCAGGCTCAGTTTTAAATAACTAAATAAAGATATTCTATGTTTTTTGTTGTTTTTTTTTTTCTTTTTAGATTTTTCGATTGGGAATGTGCATCATATTTTCCCCTGAATAAACCAATATATATATTTTTTAATGTCTCTTAGGTCATACCTGTAGCACATAGCAACCAGCAACCAGCAACCATGCCCTCCAGTGAGGGTCGTGTACGTGTACGTGTATGCATGTGTGTGTTCCGTGTTTGGTCTATTCTACTCGGTGTATTCTCTATATTTGTGGTCTGCAGTTGATGTTAAGTCAGTGTCTTCCTTCTTCTGCTTCCTTCTTTGATGGAGAGATTTATTCACAGATGAGAAGAAAGAATGAACGTCTGGAACTAGAAATATAATGCTGACCTGGGAGCATGAGAGAGAGAGAGGGAGAGAGAGAGGGAGAGAACAAGAGAGGAGACAGGGGAAAAAAACACAGTTAGCATCGTAAGGTGTGAAAACGTGTTTGCATACACAGAAGTAGCATGTAGATGTTTGGTCACCAGCATGAATGAACCTCCACTTTCACGCGGCTGTCCAGCCGCCCACTTCCAAGCCAAACGCCTGGATATATCATACGGTTTACACCGTGTGTGTGTGTAGTGGTTAAACCAGAGCCAGTTAATGAGGCCACTTCTTATTTCTCCTGTTATATCAAAAACAGGACTGCAAAATGCCAGAGAGCGCCTGTGAGTGAGTCCTCAATGAATGGGGGTGAATGGAGCTAAACGGCTAAAAACAAGAAGTTAAATAAAATATATATAATAAATAAAAAATAAATAGTTTCTAATCACTCACCCAGAACTTTCCTTTAATTTTAGAAAGTAGAAGTTTTGATTTCACTAAACATACAGTTAAGTAGAAAACTTTTTCAAACAGGTTTTGGGCAGCAGAACGCCAACATTACTGCTACTGAGTGCTGATTGGTTAGCATTACTGTTACTGAGTGCTGATTGGTTAACATTACTGCTACTGAATGCTGATTGGTTAGCATTACTGCTAGAGAGTGCTGATTGGTTAGCATTACTGCTAGCGAGTGCTGATTGGTTAGCATTACTGCTACTGAATGCTGATTGGTTAGCATTACTGCTAGAGAGTGCTGATAGGTTGGTATTACTGCTACTGAGTCCTGATTGGTTGGTGAGCGGAGCAGCTCATTGGCTGTTTGCGCTCACAGACCTCATGGACGTACATGAGGTGCCGTTTTAAACTCCTATAACTCGAGTGAACCATTTCATGCTTGATGGATTCTTTGCATGGTGAAATGGTTCTTCAGATTGATGCAGAATGTGTTTTATATGGTTCTATGTCCAGGCTTGACATTGTAACAATAGTGGAACGCTTTTTTGGTCTCTGATCTCCATCAATCTGAAGAACCATTTCACCATGCAAAGAACCATTTAAGCATGAAATGGTTTTATGTAGAACTAATAGTTCTAAACAGAACCATTGCCTCTGAAGAACGCCTGAAGAACCATCGTTGTTAAGTATGTAGGCTACAGTTATAGCTATATGCAGATAGGCTATAGGTATAGCTGTAAGTATAGCTATAGGTATCAAAGACTAGTCTTAATCTCATTCCTCCACTGTGTCTGTGAGGGCGAGAGAGCTCATACTCACATCTCTACTCAGAGTGTGGACTGTCCACCACGATGTGTGGTTTGGGTGAGGCGCTCTTTGAGAATGCGTTGATCGATTTCTCCTATAAGAGAACACAAATCAACAAAGATCAAAAAGTGACCCACTGCATGTATTTCAGAGGAAGGATTTACTGCCACAGAGGTTTATTTACTGGGACCATGAACAGTGACTGAAACTAAAGCAGGTAAAGGCCTGAACTGAATATGCTGAGCGAAGGGGCGTGTCCTTTAGCGCAGCGCTGGAGCAGACACACTGCAAAAGAGTTCACACAGCTCAAACTTCTTAGCTGAGTCAAAAATTCTCCCAGTTACTGTTTCTAGGTCTGCATCTCAGTTAGATAAACAAAATCAAAGTCATGTTTTTTTACTTAATTTTACAGAAGTCCAGAGAGGCCATCGGGTAGTTATAAGTTTGGGACTGTTATTTTGAAATAACAAGTTATGTATCTTGTTATCTCAAGGTAACAAAATTGTTATCTTGAAATAACAAGTTACATATCTCATGAGATAGCAAAAGTTGTTATCTTGAGATAACAAGTTACTTATCCTTTTATCTAAAGATAACAAAATTGTTTTCTTGTATGGAGCCCTGCTGGTGACATCCTATATAAATAATAATAATGTGTGGCCATGCCTTATGAACATGTGGGAACAAGATCCTAATGTGTGGCCACGACTTGGTAAAGTGTGGGAATGAGATAATTAAGTTGTGGCCTCAACTTAGTAAGGCGCGGGAATGAGATCATGCCTTACTAAGTAGTGGCCACTCATTAGGATCTCGTTCCCACACTGTACTAAGTCGTGGCCACAATCATAAAGTTGTTATCTTGAGATAATGAGTTAATTGTCTTGTGATCTCAAGATAACAAAGTTGTTATCTTGAAATACAAGCTACTTATCTTGTTATCTTGAGATAACAAAAGTTATCTTGGGATAACATGTTACTTAACTTGTTATCTCAAGATATGGTCCTTATCTTGAGATAATGAGTTATTTATCTTGTTATCTCAAGATAACAAAATTGTTATCTTGAAATAATGAGTTACTTGTCTTGTTATCTCAAGACAACAATCCAGAAAATTATAGCAACAACTCATGGCTTCTTCAGACTTCTGTACAATTTCCCCACTAGCTGGCGCTCTGTCTATCACACAGTCCCATCTGGCATATTTTCCTCTGGGTCTTTCTGGATATGGACAGCTGTGGTATTGCTGGGATTCAAACTCACAACCTCCTGATGTTGGAATTAATTATTAGAAGTTGCACCACATGAGATGCTTTAAAGTTAAAACAACAAATATTTCCTCCATGTGTTCCTGAGTGGTGCTGTGGACTAAACCGTCACCCCAACAGGAGGTTGTGAGTTTGAGCCCCAGCGATGCCACAGCCATCCGTAAGTGTTTACCCAAGAGGAAAGATGTCCAGCAGGATTGTGTGAGGTAAAGAGTCCTGGCTGGTGGGGAATCTGAGTATAAAAACAAGTTCATTTTATTTACCAAACTGAGATACAGAACTAAAAAATGAAGAGAATTTTTTGACTCAACTGAGAAGTTTGAGCTGGGATGAACTCTCGTGTCCTCAAGTTGAGTCAACTCCAGAAAAGCCATGTAATCAGTGACTGTATCATTCTGAGTTGAGCTGAACTCTCATTTTAACAGTGCAGCAGGTTTTCAGTTGGCATAATCAGCTAATCAGTGATTGTGTTTAAGGTGTAACTGACCTTTATAGGCTTCTATCAGTCTGAATAACTAATACAGCTCATTATCACAGTTTATGGGCAATAATGAGAGGATCTGACTGACGTCTTATAAACTCACAACTACACAGGTATAAAAACACAACGTCGTCACATTAATACATACTCTCTTCTCATCCCTCTATCTCTCTTTTTTCTCAGAATCTCTCGCTCTCTCTCACCTCCTACCACTTTTCCCTTTTTTCTTATTCTTTCTATCTTGCATTCTTTGTCTCTCTCCCTCTCTCTCTCTCTCTCTCCCTCTCTCTCTCTCTTTTTCTCTCTGTCTCTCTCTCGTCTCTCTCTCTCTCTCTCTCTCAGAAGGAAGAGTTCTGTACCTCCACCAGTTGGTGCCAGTGCTCGATGGGTTTGCGTGGATTGGCCAGCATGGCTGTCCAGTGCTCTCTGCCCGGTCCTTCAGCATCACTGCCCACACGACACATCCCAATGACCTCATTATGACCGATACTGAGGGAGAGAAAGAGAGAGAGAGAGAGAGAGAGAGAGAGAGAAAAGAGGGAAAAAGAAGATGAGAAAAAAAAGAGGACAGGAGAAAGAGGAGAAAGGGGGAACAGAGAACAGAAAGGAGAGAACAGGAGAAAAAGGAAAAAGAAGAGGACAAGAGAGGGAAAGAAAAAGAGAGAGAGTGAAAAGGAAGAGAAAAAGAAAAACAAGGAAAAAAGAGGGAAAGAAAAGAGACAAGGAAGAAGGAGGAAGAAAGAGAGCAGCAGAGGGGGAGAAGGAGAGAAAGGTGAGAAAGTAGTGAGAGAGAGCGAGAGAAAGAGAGAGAGAAAGAGAGAGAGAGAGAGAGAGAGAGAGAGAGAGAGAGATAGTGTTTGAGAATCGTGTAATTATAGGACAGAGGTTGAGAGATCACATAATTACACAGACAAACAGAAGAGAGGGAGCAGAGTGGAGGGAGAGAACGGAGGGAGGGAGAGAGGGATGGAGGTGTCTCCCAATTACTGAATTACCCAGACAAACAGAAAAAGATAGAGAGGAGAGGACAAATACTGAGTCCCGGTCACATAATTATCACGGAAATCCTTCACAGAGGACAGAGAGAGAGAGAGGGAGAGGGAGAGGGAGAGAGAGAGGGAGAGAGAGAGAGAGAGAGAGAGAGAGATAAGAGATAGATCTCTATAAACTAATTATCCATGAAAAAGGACGATTGGCTACAGTTCAGATACCAGACCAGTCTAGCGCGCACACACACACACACACACACACACACACACACACACAAAACCATCTATCTATCTATCTATCTATCTGTCTACATATATTATTGCCTATACGAGATAAGGAAACAACATTGTCCCATATGTAGTGTATATATTCATATATTCAAATACTTATAAGGAATAATAATGTCTCATATGTATTATATAAATGTAAGTACCCATATTTAAATATTTATATATACGAGGCATATTACTATTAGCTATATGCAGTAATAATGTCCCATATGCATTATAAGTACCTACATGTAATTACATGTCTCACGTAGTAGATACATAAATAAACCCATATATATATATATATATATATATATATATATATATATATATATATATATATATATATATATATATATATATATCATAAGCATCTCCATATAACATGAACTTTCTAAACCTAACTGTAAACCTAAATCTTACTCTAAACCTTAGAAACCAGTACGAACTGGTTCTGCTTTTTGGTTCTGTTGGTGTTTAGTTGGTGCTGCAGGTCAGAGCTGCTTTCCGCAGTTGTTCTCTACAGTGTCTGAGCGGAGAGCAGGAAGCAGGAAGCTCTCAGTGTTCTGATCTCAGACTGCAGTGGTGTTTGTCTAGTAAATGATAATAATACACGCAGTGATGTGCTGTGTAATACAGAGTGTTCTCTCTGCACGGCCCACTCACAACTACACTTCACACCCAATTCCAGCTATTTGGCACAAACACACACACACCCACACACACACACAGGTGTAAACCTCTACAGACAGTAACTCTCGTATTTGCAGCCTCCACTGAGACCTGTATTGAGCATTAACAGCATAAGAGCATAAAACATTAACAGCAGCACTTCATCCACTGTAGAAACTGTGATATATTCCTCTAAGTATGCTAATATATATATATATATATTACTAAGTCTCATGTATATGTATATACTTATAATAAGTTTTTTACATCATTTTAACACACTATCTGTTTTTTATGTTGTGTGACAATTTCATGATGAATGGACCAATAGAAATGCTCTAAAATCACTTGAAATAAAATCTCTTTACATTGACTTTCATTGAAAGTAAAGAGTGTTTTTGCCCTCCCCTGTAAAGTTACTATTTTGGAGACACTTGTTTTTCTTTGGACAGCGATGATATGTAAGTAGCTATATGTAATAATGATAGGCCCTGTATGTATTATACATATACACAACCTTGTTTCCAAAAAAAAGTGGGACGCTGTGCAAAATGTAAATAAAAACAACACAGTGATTTCAATTAAATATAGAGTTTAAATGACTTTCACTTCATTGCTTTCTGTTTTTATTTAACATCTTGCATAGTGTCGTAACGTTTTTGGAGTTGGGGTTGTGTGTAAGTACCTATATGTAATAATTTGTCCCATAAGTATTACACGACAAAAATGGAGATTTTGTTCCGACAGCAGCGATATGTAAGTGCCTATATCTAATAATACTATGTCTCATATGTGTTTTATATATGGATATGGAAATAAAATATGCACAAATTTCTATTACTGTGATATCTTCTATTTCACTCCTATTAATGGTATTATAGATGATATTGATAATAAATTTGGTCAAGCATATTTTCAAGCTGTTAATCTTCAAATTAAAGTCCAGAAGCGTAAAAAATGCTTGATTTGCAGTTCAGTGACCGAATCAATTATCATCATTCATTAGTGAATGAACTGTTAGATCAGATTTGATCCTATGCTATCTTGATGAATAAGGGCTGTTATGATATCACATATGACAACCTTTGTTTTATGGAAAATATCAGCATACGTAATACAAAAAACCAAACTACAGTGCAGCTCATATGTAATAATAACACTACAGGGGTTTATGTATTAGCTGAGCATGTTTCCGTACACTGAATTTTAGGGTTTACCACCTTTTTAATCCTCTACATCTCTACACAACGCACTGTTCTCCATGCATATAGAAAACAACACGTCATCCAGTGTCAGAAAGCACATAATCACACAAGCAAGTCTGTTTAAATTTATATTGTGAAATTTGATATTTGCTGAACTGTCACTTCCAGCTCACTAATCAAAAGATCAGTTTTGGTTTCTTACTTTTTCTAATTAACCTGCAATTTTTTGGGGAAAAAAGCAATTTTCCTCCTGGAGAGCTCACTAATAACCCCACACAAACCAAATATTCATGCTGGGGGGATTTAGATCCCCCAAAGGGGTAAACACACACACACGCACGCATGCACACACACACACACACACACACAAATACGGCAGCCCTGTTTGCTGTCATAATAAAGCAGAATGAAGAGGCTGCTAAATGGACGACGCTCCGGGTCCCTTAAGCGTGCAGCCCGTTCTCCACACAGTGTGAACTCTGAAGAGAGTGGTGCAGTCGTTTCATCCTGCAGCGTGAGCGAGACACGCTGTTCTCCAACCTTCCACCAGCCTTTCATTCCAGCACTTATTCCTCATTATCAACACAATGTCTGAAGAGCTCAGAAATGGGCTGATATATATATATATATATATTTCACAGAAGAAATTTTTATAACCTCTGCCTGCTGGTAAAGCATGCTGGCCAACTATCACACTCACAAACCCTGCTGTGATTTCTAGATTAAATAATCCACTCACTCTTATTTTTGCATGCAAATCCTATTACAGATAAAACAGCTGCGAGCCTGAGGGTCTTCATGCTATAAATTACTGTTCATATGATGCTCTGAGCAGAGGAGTAAAACAGCAGGAGGAGACCATTAAAAACTGCCTGCAAGAACATGTGATTCTTTATGTTTATCAGATCACTGCTCACATTAAAACTTCAGTGCCTGGCTGATAATACTATAAACACTGTTCTCATTAAATTGTAATACTATAAGCACTGTTCCGATTGGATATTTAACACTATAAACACTGTTCTGATTGGATATTTACACTATAAACACTGTTCTGAATAGATTTGAATACTATAAACACTGTTCTGATTGGATATTTACACTATACACACTGTCCTGATTAGATGTTAATAGTATAAACACTGTTCTGATTGGCTAATAATACTATAAACACTGTTCTGAATAGATTTGAATACTATAAACACTGTTCTGATTGGATATTTATACTATAAACACTGTTCTGATTGGATATTTACACTATACACACTGTTCTGATTAGATTTTAATACTATAAACACTGTTCTGATTGGATATTTACACTATAAACACTTCTGATAAGATTTTAATACTATAAACACTGTTCTGATTGGCTGATGATACTATAAACACTGTTCTGATTGGCTGATAATTCTATTAAGACTGTTCTGATTGGATATTAATACTATAAACACTTCTGATTGGCTGATGATACTATAAAAACTGTTCCGATTGGCTGATAATTCCATTAAGACTGTTCTGATTGGATATTAATACTATAAACACTTCTGATTGGCTGATGATACTATAAACACTGTTTTGACTGGCTGACAATGCTATAAACACTGTTCTGATCGGATATTAATACTATAAACACTTCTGATTGAATTTTAAAACTATAAACACTGTTCTGATCAGATATTAATACTATAAACACTGTTCTGATCAGATATTAATACTATAAACACTTCTGATTGAATTTTAATACTATAAACACTGTTCTGATCAGATATTAATACTATAAACACTGTTCTGATCCTCATGATGAAAAGTTGTGTATTCAGTCTTGCTGACTGGCTGGTAATGGAATGATCCAGTATTGAAGACTGAAGATGTGCATGTAGTGGATAAAAACATATAATTCTGGAGTTCTACCTTCAGAAAGGCCTGCATGCAAAATACACAGGTCACACAGCCAGTTAATGATATGAAGGAAAAAAAAAGCTTTCATCACTCAGTTGTTATCTGATGAATAAATCCATTCACTCACTCACTCAGATTACTGGATAGAAATGTTATTAAAGATAAAACAGCTGCATGCCCTGGGGATCATCGAGGTATAAATTACTGTACATATGACTGTTCTGAGTTAAAAGATAATACAGCAGATGGAGACTATTAAAAACTGCATGCAAGAACAGATCATTTCTTACAATGCATTTGGGCCACATATGTCAACTAATACAGTTAATGTAATGCCAATATCACCCATATCACAATCATACACATACACAGTACCGTGCAGAAGTCAGAAACCATCCTTAATGTATTTAACTCTACGACATTCTCTATAAAAATGAACAAACAATATGAAGCATCTCGAATCATCTCATTTTCCTATCTCTTTTTAAAATACTCTTTCTTTCATATAAGCTGGTGAAGCTCGTCTCCGGCGCGTGGGATGTGGCAGCAGGGTCTGAGCGGATCTCTTACCACGAGTGCCTCGCGTTAACGTTACGAGCAATTCATCAGTATTTATCTGTGGGCTACAGAAGATGGCTTCATTAGACGAGGCCAAAACGAGCCTCTCCCCCCCTCTCTCTCTCTCACACGCGCCTCAGGAGCCGGGAGTGAATTTCCCCTCTAATGGAGGCACGGCTGAAAATAGAAGCTGATTTGCTGATTCGTACACGAGCTCGGTGAGCACCAGATGTTTTTCTTCAATAAATCCAGAGGAAAAAAAACAAAAATGCGAGGAGCGCAAACAGAGAAAAATCATTTCTACTGCACACAAGATACACACGACTCCCCAACACGCTGTTTCACTAATGACAGACAGAGAAACACAAAGAAACACTCACAGGCTTGTTTTTAATACAGTGTCAGGATGTGGGGTCTTACATAGAGCCCATATGAGTTGTATATATGTTAGGATATATGTATATATGGGTAATAATAATAATATGCAGTAGTGTACAAAAGTCTTTTGCAAAGCTATTTATCTGATCAGCAAGTCTTCATTTGCTCAGAAAAACACTAATATTTCAATAAACAATATGACTACCACAACTGGATTCTATGTATAAACCCATTTGTAAAAAAGTCGGGACGGTAAAATGCAAATGAAAACAGAAAGCAGTGATTTATAAATCTACTTTGACCTGAACCAAACTAGATATGTAACATTTTATCTCATCAACTTTGTTTTTTGTAAATATATGTTCATTCTAAAATGGATGCCTGCAGCACGTTCCAAGAAGTTGGGACGGGGGCAATTAAGGAACTTAAAACATCTGTCCATATTGTTATTGAGCATTTCATCCAGTCCCCATCCATGTGCCTCCTCCATGATTATCTTCCTCGCAGACATGGATCACGTGTCCGGTGACGTACTGAATGGGGAGGAGCTTTGGTTGTACTGGGAGTGGTTTAGTTTGTGCTGGGAGGAGTTTTGATTGTACTGGGAGGGGTTTCAGTTGTACTGGGAGGGGTTTCTGTTGTGCTGGGAGGGGTTTTGGTTGTACTGGGAGGAGTTTTGTTGTATTGGGAGGAGTTTTGTTTGTACTGAGAGGAGTTTCAGTTGTAATGGGAGGAGTATCGGTTGTACTTGGAGGAGTTTGGGTTCTACTGAGAAGAGTTTCGGTTGTTCTGGGAGGAGTTTTGGTTGTACTGGCAGGAGTTTCAGTTGTACTGGGAGGAGTTTTGGTTGAAAGGGAGGAGTTTCGGTTGTACTAGGAGAAGTTTTGGTTGTACTGGGAGGAGTTTTGGTTGTACTAGGAGGAGGTTTGGTTGTACAGGAAGGAGTTTCGGTCATACTCGGAGGAGTTTTAGTTGTACTGGGAGGAGATTCAGTTGCACTGGGTGAGTTTTAGTTATACTGGGAGGAGTTTTAGTTGTACATGAAGGAGTTATAGTCATACTGGGAGGAGTTTTGGTTGTACTGGGTGAGTTTTAGTTATACTGGGAGGAGTTTCAGTTGTACTGCAAGGAGTTTTGGTTGGACTAGGAGGAGTTTCAGTTGAAAGGGAGGAGTTTCGGTTGTACTAGGAGAAGTTTTGGTTGTACTGGGAGGAGTTTTGGTTGTACTAGGAGGAGGTTTGGTTGTACAGGAAGGAGTTTCGGTCATACTCGGAGGAGTTTTAGTTGTACTGGGAGGAGTTTCAGTTGCACTGGGTGAGTTTTAGTTATACTGGGAGGAGTTTTAGTTGTACATGAAGGAGTTATAGTCATACTGGGAGGAGTTTTGGTTACACTGGGAGGAGTTTAGGTTATTCTGGGGGAGTTTTAGTTATACTGGGAGGAGTTTGGTTATACAGGGCAGAATTTCAGTTGTACTAAGAGGAGTTTCGGTTGTACTGGGAGGGATTTTGGTTGTCAAATGTGTCTTAGAGAGACAGATGTGTTTACATTTCTATAACATTTGGCTTTAATAAAAATCCTAACCTTAAAAAAACCTACAAAACTGAAACATGGAGCTTCTGCAAAAAGCACTTCACCTTTTTTGCCGCTCCTGTTTGAGGAGGTTAGTCCTGTTTTTCTCTGGTTTCTCTACACAGTCAAGACACATTTGCACTGAAAATGTATGAAAACAAACAGAATCTGCACGGACATGAGTGCGCACACACACACACACACACACACACATACAAACACGGTGACTCTTTGACTTAAGGTGGCCCCTCTGGACAAGAAAACACTGGCCGGGTTACACAGTGTCTCACCACAGACATTACTGCCATTAGCATTAGCATAAGTCATGTTTATTCATGAGGCGTCTGTCTCTATGCAAAACAGTGCAGGCGTTCAGAGGGAAGAAAGTGACTCACTGGGGCACAGGGCTGCGTGTTCAACACAGCGGCAACACTCGCGCTACTGCAGGAGGAATTCTAACTAGGCTCCAGCGCAATCTGCTGCCAGCCCAAACTATCGATGCTAATGATGCTAATGCTGTTAATTATTCCTGACGACAACAGCTCTGCAGCAGCCATACGGCTTTTTTTATAAACCACTTCAACTTCCACTTCTACTTCCACTCTCTGGCCACATTATTAGAAACACCTACTTTGCGTCTTCACTCACTGGCCACTTTATTAGAAATACTTACGATGTGCTTCCAATCACTGGCCACTTTATTAGAAACACCTACCTTGTGCTTCCACTTACTGGCCACTTTATTAGAAACACCTGACCACTGATGAAGGTCTAGAAGATGACTAACACAAACTGTACATCAACAGATGGGCTACAGTATCTAACTGCACTCTAGCAAGGCGGAGCTACGAGGGAGGGGTTTCTGATAAAGTGGCCAGTGAGTGTGTACACATATTCACAATGTGATTAAAGAGGTTTTCCTCCTGAACGCTCTGCTTTTTACACAGACAGCAACCCGCTGTGTTTCTCTGAACAGAAGCGCTGTTAAGTGAACGTACCAGTCATAGTCCATGACGGCGATGATCAGAGACACACTCTCGATGTTCTCGTTGGGGATGTCGAAGACCAGAGCTTCGTTGTAGGACGGGTTCAGCGTGTTCTTCTTAATGGAGGTTTTCCTCTTCTTCAGCCTGCGGCCCTCACAGACCAGAGACGCCTTCACATACGGGTCTGAGAGAGAGACAGAGAGAGAGAGAGAGAGAGAAGAGAGAGAGAAAGAGACACAGAGAGAGAGAGAGAGAGAGAGAGAGAGAGAGAGAGAGAGAGAGAAAAGTGAAGAGAAAGAGAGAGATAGAGAGAGAGAGAGACAAAAGAAAGACAGACAAAGAGAGAAAGAGAGAGAGACAGTGAGAGAGAGAAAGAAAAGAGTGAAAGAGCGAGAGAGAGACAAAAGAAAGAGAGACAGAGTGAAAAAGCAAGATAGAGACAGAAAGTGAGAGACAGAGAGGGAGAGAGATAAAGAGAAAGAGTGAGAAAGAGAGAGAGAGAGAGAAAAGGAAGAAAGACAGAGGGAGAGAGTGAGAAAGAGGGAGAGAGAGCGAGAGCAAGAGAGAGAGAGAGAGATGAAGAGAAAGAGTGAGAAAGAGAGAGTGAAAAGAAAGAGAGGGAGAGAGGGAGAGAGATGAAGACAAAGAGACAGACAAAGAGCGAGAGAGGAGAGAGAGAGGGATAGAGATAGAGAGAGATAGAGAAAGAGCGAGAGAAAGAGATAGAGAGAGAGTGAGAGAGAGAGAGAGAGAGAGAGACAGAGAAAGAGCGAGACAGAGAGAAAGAGAGGGATAGATTGAGAGAGCAAGAGAGAGAGATAGAGAGAGATAGAGAAAGAGCGAGAGAGAGAGATAGAGAAAGAGCCAGAGAGAGAGAGAGAGGGAAAAGGAAACCAAACAGACAATTGTACACAATATGGCAATAAAACTAATGTTAATTCTAATAAGGGTGTCGATAATTATGCTAATAGCACTAACGATTGCAGTGGCTAGCATGACCAGCCCAGCACAGAGTATAATGGCCCTCCTTCTGAATGTCAGCCCGTCAGAGAGCGCGGCGCGCTAATGCTGCATAATCACGTCCTCGGAGAGAATTCATTATTTCATTAGTCTGAGGCGCCTATGATAATTAAATTAACCCACACTGATTGCGATTGTCTCTCATCCATCACACTCTGCTGTTACTGCCGTGACGCAACGTTTCTGACATCCAGCTTCTCGTTTCGGAGGGCGCTGGGTCGTCCTCGCAGTCTGGAGAGTTAAGGTTAGATTCTTTTTTGACCTTCAGTGTTATTGTTTCTTTGAAGTGTGGCTGGTATTAAGATGGTAATGATCTAAAGCTGTGGCACGTCTGGGCCTTAATGATGTCTCGGATGATAATGAGGCCGTGGATTCATAAGTAGGTGTGTGTGGGTGGGTTTGTTTTTGTCCGTTTTCAGGACTTTGTTAACAGGGCTAGCCTACCGGAGCACGCTAATGACATTGTAAAGTGCTTTTTACAAAAACTGAAAGAGTTAAAGCTGCACTATGTAGCATCTGGGGATTTGGAGACCTCTCTGGTGGAAATGTGTAATTGCACGCAATGCGCGGAGGAACGTTTCATATATGCTATGTCCCAATTCAGGGGCTGCGTTCTACGGAGGCTACATTTGAGCCTACCTTGTACTTTCACTAACTGGCCACTTCATTAGAAACACCTACCTTGTGCTTCCACTAACTGGCCACTTTATCAGAAACACCTACCTTGTGCTTCCACAAACTGGCCACTTTATCAGAAACACCTACCATATGCTTCCTTGTAGACTGCGTCCTTCAAAGGGCGCAGCCCCTGAATTGGGACACAGCTACAGTCAGTTATGCTCCGGACACCCACAAGCAGAGGAATCTGATGATTGCAAGCGAGTTGAAAGAGAATTCAATAGGGTTCTTGAAGGGTTGGGGACGATTTCAACCACTACCCCCTGTAACCGAGTTCCAACAGGACAAGGTGACCCTTAAAAACAAGGGGTAGGGGTTGCAATAAGAAATGGGATTGGGCCCTAAAAGGTGCAGTATATGTTTCTGGAGGATGATTGTTGATATTTGAACTCAAGAGTGCTCCTTCACAAGCTCTGCCCCCCAAATTCATGGATGCGCATTGCCAAGATGAACGACACTAGGCTAGCAAACTTGTCCTACTGTCATCAGCAGTTGCTGAAGACTTTTACGTAAACAGACGTGACGAGTTTTGCCGGACATTTCCAACATGCCAATAGGCACCGTTTTGCCGTTGTCTGAGGCAAATCAGGGCAATGTTAGAAAACGATGTTGTCTTTAACGACTGGGAGCGCTGGTGGATTCATTTATGGTATAAAGGATACACTGCAAACAAGTTCTGTTGTAGTTAGCCTAGCTACACAACATGCTAGCTGGCATGTATAACATTAGTGACTTTGGATTCTGTAAACATTTGATGGACCCGTTTTTTTTATTGATTTGCTATGAGACACTCTGTCTGGAGTGTCTCTGAAAAACCTCTGTTAGCTCTAACACTTCACCCTACACCTCTATCTCAACAACAATCGGGACACCCTACCTCTAGACGTGAAAGCGCAGAACAGAGGGGTAAGGGCTAAATAGTAGAGGCAAGGGGTGAAATGGGATTGGGCCTAAGATTAGGTTTAGGATTTAGATTAGGTTTAGGTAATTCTCATTACATATTGCTTTGTTATAAACCGGATAGTTCCAGTCCTGTTATCTGACTGGCTGAGCCGCGTTTGACCCCGTGGTAAAATCCACTGCATGAAAAACTCTTGTGCTTTTAATGGGATAATCTTTGACTTTAATGCTGCTCGCATGAACCACGAGCATATTGATGAAATAAGAGCCTGTTTTTTATTTAAACTGAGGGGCTGGCAACTTATGTTCTTAACTAGATTGGTCAGCCAGCTAAGATAGCAAACAGCCTAAACACCTATAACATTAATATCACAGGCTTGAATTAAAGTACTTACAGTCTGATTAACTGTAGAACTGCAGTATAAAAGTCTAAAAATGTTACTTGAATGTCTCACGCACTTCAAATCTCTGTGTTTCAGTCAGAAGTCGCGTCAAACCCAGACTGGATCCCAAACGGCTCTGCACTCCCTAAATAGTGTTCTAGCTATGAAAGTTTAGACGTTCTAGCCTCTACAGCCAAACAGTGCATCATTTTGTTAGGTTGTTAGGAGCCCTGTTTACTTAGCTTTGGATTACAGTCTATTTTGTATCTAATCTCCTCAGAAATATCTCTTGAAAAATGTATAACGTGTTGTTTTGACTGGAAGTTAAATAAATGAAGGGTGGTCTCTGATTTTTGCACAGTACTGTATATCTAATGTATATGGGATTTATTATTATATACAGGTACTTACATATACAGTATTAAGCACATCTGGGACATGTTGTTATTACATGTTAGTAGGTAGGACGTCTGTATGGCCCCATGTGCTGACAGTGTAAAACAGGCCTGTGTGTGTGTACCTGAGAAGCCGGTCAGGTCCATGGCTTTGAGGTTGGTGGCCTTGATGATGGTGACCGTCAGTCGGCCAGCTGTTGGCAAGTAGCACAGTGAGAAATTCAGCTCCCCCAGATCAGCTTTCTCCTGCACAGAACACACACACACACACACACAAACACACACACACGCACACACAAACACACACACACACACACGCACAGGTCAGAGAATTGGAGCCGAACTCCAGCACACACACTTACAGATCTGCTGACCTAAGAAAGCTGAGCTGTGAGTCAGAGACGATCACTCTCTCACTCTCTCGCTCTTTCTCCTCTTCTCTCTTTCTGTCTCTCTCTCACTCTCCTCTTCTCTCTTTTTTCCTTTCTCTCTTTCTTTTCACTCTCTCTTTTCTTTCTTTTTCCGTTCTCTCTCTCTTTCTCTTTCTGTGCTCTCTCTCAGTCTTTCCTTTCTTTCTTTTCTCTCTTTCTGTTCTCTCTCTCAATCTTTCGAGGACAGGCCGGTAAACACTACGCCTCAATATTTCATCAAAATCGAGGCTCTTCAGAAGCCGGAAGAGTGAGCGGGCACGAGCGAGCGGCTGTTAGCGTGAGGCTTCACCGCTCCAACCCAGGATGCTTAGGATTCAGCATGCTCTCCACACACGCTCAGAAGAGTTCGACCTTCATTAATTAACTGTTTTTTTTAAGTCCCTCAGGTTTTCCTTTTAAGGCGATGCCTGTTCCTGATTTGATTTCCTCTCCGCTGTTCTGGAAGCTCCTCCAAGGACACATGAGCATCAGCACCGGCTTCACACCCACAGATCTGTCACTAAAACCATGCAATGCGTTTCAGATGTTCCAACAGAGAATATAAGGTGGTGGTTATATAATTCAATTGTTTTTGCATCTGCAACTGCAGACAATAAATAAAAACTGAATTATGTTATATACAGTGCCTCCTCTGGGCTGCTGCATTATCCTCAGAACAAACAATAAGACTGAATTTTTTCATACAGTAAGACCCCACATACCCCACAGTGCTGAATTTCCACACACTTTAATGTTGTTTCACATTCAACCACAATGCTGTGCATCAGTCACTGTTGTCTTCTGCACTTTATCTGGTTTCTGCACTGTCTGTTTATTATGTGCATATCAGGGATGTGGGATGTGAGGGTGCTGAGGGTGTTGTAGCCCCCCAAGGTTTCAGGATTGACTGCTACTACTATACATACATACATCATCTAAACCGCTTATCCTTCTGGGTCGCGGTGGGGGGCTGGAGCCTATCCCAGCCGTCATTGGGCGGAAGGCAGGATACACCCTGGACAAGTCGCCAGTCCATCGCAGGGCAGACAGACATACACAGTCACACACACATTCATGTCCAGTCAGCCTGACTGCATGTTTTTGGACTTTGGGAGGAAACCGGAGTACCCGGAGGAAACCCACGCAGACACGGGGAGAACATGCAAACTCCACACAGAAATGACCCTGGTCACCCGGCCGGGAATCGAACCCAGGCCATTCCTGCTGTGAGGCGACAGCGCTACCCACTGCGCCACCGTGCCGCCCTGCTACTACTATGAAAAATTATAAAAAAAAGATCTTAACTTTAAAAAAAGAAATGAATATAGTCCAAAACTATTTGTGCTGGTTTTAGAGTGGAGATTTTTAATTATGGATGATTTCTATGGAACTGTTTCAGAGTTGAAAACACATTTTAGACTAGTGACTCTACAATTCAATTACATTTATTCTATTAAAATAAATGACTGATCGCTCCATTTTGTCACTACCAAAACAACCAAAACAAACACTACCCAAACTTTACCAAGTGTGTCAGTAGTGACTGTTTCGGAGGTGACAATTTTAGCTCATTGTGAGCAGAACTCAAAAACACAGCCAGTACATGACCGACAAACACAGCTTTGAGCAGCTGTACACACATAAGATCATCATATTTTTATTAAAACACAAAACACTGCAGAAAATGTGTGTTTCGGTAGTGACAATTCTTAACGTTCCACACTGATTTGCAGATTTTGGGACACATTTACTTCAAAACAATGGGATCTAACTGCTCACCATGTGGCCATGAGGGACAGGGATGCAGCCTCACTTCCTGCTCTAAAATACAGGGGGCGGGGCTAAAATAAGTCTCCGCCTACAAAACTAAAACTCGGTTTCAGTAATGACATTGAAATGTGGGACAGCATTTTTTAACTTAAAAATGTAACTTATTATAGATCAAAATATTTCAACCTCACTTTAAAAGAAATAAGTTATAAAAATTACATTATTATAAATTATATTATTTAAGTGTAAATCGAGGGGTAAGGGTTTGAGACAAATGAGGATTTTGTATTTTTGTCTTGGGTTTAAATAGATCATAACATAATCATTAGAAATATCTAAGGTCTGAATACTTTATTGGTCTTTAAATAGTTTTTATAATGTGAGACCACAGTTTGAACTAATTCACTAAAATGCTCTACATATATGTTCAAAACCTGCGGTAGCCGTGCACTGTTTAACTGTATTTTCCCAGTTGTTCTCTCAACATCTGTTGGCCGCTTGGACGTCACTGATCAGTTATCAGTTCAGTTTATATCACGTATATGCTGCTTAAAATTTTAGCACTTGCAACTTAAAACACCCTCCGCATCCACATCTTACTTATGGTTTTCTCTACTTTGAGCACTCGGACACATTTTAGAATAAAATGTCTCGTATTTTAAATATTTAGATATAAACTAACTTTAGATTTTTCCAGCTTAAACTAGCATTTAATATGTTATTTGCTGTGTTATGTAATATTCTGTACTGTAGCACTGCATCTCTCAGCCTCAGTGGTTTGACAAAATTCCCAATATTGTATTTTTCTGTGATGAGAGGACATGGTGGGTTTTAATGTTCTCTCATTACAACACCCAGCATGCATCCTTCTCGCCTACCACCACCACCATCACCACAGCACTAAATACAAAGATGACAATAAAATATCTGCTCCAAAGCGCTTGTAGTTTTATCAAAGTTCTTCCCACCTTCAAGACACATAATTAGAAGGGTTAAACTGTAAAATGTCACTCTCTGGACTGCTGCAGCACTGCTGTCGGAGGCGTTTTGGGCTGAGTGACCCTTTAAATGGAGCCATTTTGCCTGGATGTCAACTCAAAGCAGTCTTAATCATTCTCTCACGCGGCTTCATTATTAATGCCCTTGAAATGCTTTTCCAACAGAACTGAAGAAGATCCACATATAGTAAGAGGAATTATGGCATTACATAGGAATTACCTGTGTAACCAAGGAAATGGATGCTGTGTAACAAGGGAAATGGATGTTGTTTAACCATGGGAATGGGAGTAGTGTAACCATGGAAATGGGAGTAGTGTAACCATGGAAATGGGTGTGGTGTAACCATGGAAATGAGTGTGGTGTAACCATGGACATGACTATAGTGTAACCATGGAAATGAGTGTGATGTAACCATGGAAATAGCTGTAGTGTAACCATGGAAATAGCTGTAGTGTAACCATGGAAATAGCTGTAGTGTAACCATGGAAATGGGTGTAGAGTAACCATGGAAATGAGTGTGGTGTAACCATGGACATGACTATAGTGTAACCGTGGAAATGAGTGTGATGTAACCATGGAAGTGGGAGTAGTGTAACCATGGAAATAGCTGTAGTGTAACCATGGAAATAGCTGTAGTGTAACCATGGAAACGGGTATAGTGTAACCATGGAAATAGCTGTAGTGTAACCATGGAAATGAGTATAGTGTAACCATGGAAATGGGTGTAGTGTAACCATGGAAATGAGTGTAGTGTAACCATGGAAATGGGGTAGTGTAACCATGGAAATGAGTGTGGTATAACCATGAAAAAGGAGGTAGTGTAACAAGGGAAGTGGGTGTAGTGTAACCATGGAAATGGATGTAGTGTAACCATGGAAACAGATGTAGTGTAACCATGCAAATGGGTGTACTGTAACAAGGGAAGTGGGTGTAGTGTAACCATGGAAATCGTTGTAGTGTAACCATTGAAATGGGTGTAGTGTAACCATGGAAATGGGTGTAGTGTAACCATGGAAATAGGTGTAGTGTAACCATGGAAATAGGTGTAGTGTAACCATGGAAATGAGCGTAGTGTAACCATGGAAATAGGTGTGGTGTAACCATGGAAACAGGTGGAGTGTAACCATGAAAATGGGTGTAGTGTAACCATGGAAACAGGTGTGATATAACTAGTCTTTTTCAGATGGACTATTGTCAGTTAATCCATCTTAGAATTCTATCTAAATCAGCAGCCGTGCAGCTACAGTATTAAGCAGTTTCTCCTGCCAGCTGTCTGAAAGTCAGCCTACTGGAAACTGCATCTTATTTTTGTGTGTGAAAGTGATTTTAAGCTGTGGAGGATATTCTCACACAAACATTCGGGCTGCAAATGACAAATTATGGACAAACAAACTGCTAAATGCTAATTAAATGAACGCAGAGCGAAGCAGATGTAGTGCAGCTTACACAAGCCTCGGAGCAGACGTCGCTAACTCTGTGTGTGAAGTGATTAAGGCTTTATTCTCACCGCCGTTCCCTCCACGATGTCCCTCCAGATGGGTTTGTCTCCGGTGCCCTCGCTGAAGTCCAGCAGGTTGTCCACCACCACCTGGCCGATGAGGTCGTGTCTGGAGAAGCGGTCGAAGTCGTAGATGGAGAAATGAAGCTTCCGAGAGTGCAGCTCGGCCAGCGGCACCCCGAACTGAAACGTCTCGTTAAACACAGGATTCAGAGTCTTCCTATGGACCTGAGAGAGAGAGAGAGAGAGAGAGAGAGAGAGAGAGAGAGAGAGAGAGAGAGAGAGAGAATAATGAGTAAAAATAGGTCAAGACAAAAATGGACAGAGAAACAGTGAAAGGAAAAAAATGAAAAGAGAGAAAAAGTGAAAGAAAGAAAGAAAGAAAGCGAGAGAGAAAGAGTGAGAGAGTGAGGAAAGAGTGAGTGAAGAAAGAACAGGTTAAAAGAAAAAACAAACAAAGAGTGAATGAGAAAAAGGAGAGAGGAAGAGAGAGAAAGAGTAATAAAGAGAAAGGGTGAAAGAGACACAGAGGGGACACAGTGATAGAGAGAGACAGAGAGAGAAAGTAAGAGAAAGTGAGAGAATAGTGAGTAAAAACAGGTCAAGAGAAAAATGGAGAGAGAGTGAAAGAGAAAAGAGGAAGAGAGAAAGAGTGAGGTGAGGAAAGAGTGAAGAAAGAACAGATTAAGAGAAAAACAAACAGAGAAATAGTGAATGAGAAAAAGAAGAGAGGAAGAGACAGATAGAGTAAAAAAAGAGAAAGATTGAAAGAGAGACAGTGATGGAGAGAGAGAAATGGAGGGAGACAGAAAGAGAAAGAGAGACAGAGGGGACACAGCAAGAGAAAGAGAGAGAAATGGAGGGAGACAGAAAGAGAAAGAGAGACACAGAGGGGACACAGCAAGAGAGAGAGAGAGAAATGGAGGGAGACAGAAAGAGAAAGAGAGACACAGAGGGGACACAGCAAGAGAGAGAGAGAGAGAGAGAAATGGAGGGAGACAGAAAGAGAAAGGGAGAAATAATACAATAAACAACACGCCAAGAAAAAAACAAACAAGAGAGATAGATAGATAGATAGATAGAGAGAGAGAGAGAGAGAGAGAGAGAAAGGGAGAGGAGAGCGAGAGAGAGATAGACAGAGAGAGAGTGAGAGAGAGAGATAGACAGAGAGAGAGAGAGAGAGAGAGAGAGAGCGAGAGAGAGCAATGTAACAACCAAACAGTACCTGACTACATGAGGTAATAGATCTGCGATGTAAATATAAAACCGTTAATATTTAATGTCTATGCGTGTGTGTGTGTCGGGGGGAGGGGAGATAGTGAGGAAAGAACAGAACGAGCGAGACAGAATGAGAGAGAGGTAACAGATAAGTGGAGGAGCTGAGGAGTAAAAGAAGGCAGAGGTGAAGGCAGACAGACGAGTGGAGACACTGAGGGAGCTCTAACAGGGGGTGATTACAGAGAGAGCCTCAGAGCCGGAGAGACGCTGCTGACAGGCGGAGGAAAAAACAGCACCAACACAGCTTAATGAAGCCAGAGAGGACGAGCAGGTTAACCCTCTAATCTCTGAAGTCGTGTCCTCATTCACTCAGTCTGCAGCCGCCGCTGTGACCATGTTAGGTAATCAGGGGCTGAGCTGGTTTTCTCTATGAGGAAAATGAATGGTGAACATCGCTGCTATTGCACTCCATGGTAAACAGAAACGACCTTTATTATGAGGCTGTTAAGGAGTGAAAAGAATACCGCTACCTGCAGTTTAACACTGCTGCACACTGAAAGCACAGCTTACACTGAAAATCGAATCATTTTAGTCTACGGTTTGAGGAGCTGGTGTTGGTGTTTTGACTCATTCTGACCAAATCAGTTCAAGTCAGAGTTGAAACATTTCAGAGTTTAAACTTTATCTTGGAATTCAGACTTTTCCTTTTGCTTTGAGTGACCCTAGACTTAATTTGTTGCTTATTTTATTGAAATAAGTAAAAATTAAAATTCAATTTTATCACCAAAACAATCAAAACACTACTGAAACTTTACCAAATGTTTCAGTAATAACTGTCTGGCAGTGACAATTTTAGCTCATTTTGAGCAGAACTCAAAAAGACAGCCAGTACATGACTAACAAACACAGCTTTGAACAGCTGTACACACATCAAAGCATCACATTTTTCATTAAAATGGAAAAATGTTTACTTTACTGTAGAAAAGGTGTGTTTCGGCAGTGACGGTTCTTAATGTTCCACACTGATTTTCAGACTTTGGGACACATTTACTTCAAAACAATGGGTTCTAACTGCTCACCATGTGGCCATGAGGGACAGGGATGCAGCCTCACTTCCTGCCCTAAAATGCAGAGGCGGGGCTAAAATAAGGCCCCGCCCACAGACTAAAACCCTGGGTTTCGTTAGTGACATGAAAACATGGGACAGCATTTTTTATTTAAAAGTCAAATTCATAATGACTCCAATACTTTTAACGAAAAACTTAAATAATTATTTTTTCAAATGATCCATATTGAAGCATTAAAGTTTAATATTACACTTTTTTGCATGTATATAGCATTATTCATATTGTGGCTGCTAAACGACAGTGATCTTTGGGTAAAAAGGTACGCAGGATATTTTTGTTTACCACACTTGAAAAAACCTTTTACTTTTCTCATAGACAAAATCTGCTCCTTGTATGGTCATGACTCTAACTACAGAATCACGCACAACTTCAGACGCCTATTCTTTTCTTTTCGCCTGACTTTTCAGTCTCCGAGCCCATAAGGTGTTTATTACAGGACTGGATTGTAATGTGCAGACAACCTGCTGGGCCACCTCCAGCCGCTAGGAGGGCCTGGAGAGCAAGGACTGAGTTATTAGGGCTGAGCAGTAGCAGCAGTGGGCGTCCTACTTAAGGTGAGCTCGCACGCTGCTCGCCGCTCACTCTTGAGTTCACACTGTTATGCGCACATTGCTCTGAGTCAGCCAGTAATCTCGGTATCTGTCTCGTTTTATGTCTTTACTTTTTCTTAAATTTTTCTCCAGTGTAAGTATTAAAAAAAGTGTTTAGTGAGAGGCGAGGGTGAGATCGAAGAAGGGAGTTTTTTGATTTCAGTTTTGGGAGCCCTCAGTTTGGGTCATCCTTTAAGTCTTCAGTTAGCCTGCCCGTTATCCCCTTTACGGGATGATTGATAGGTTTAATAGGTACTGTCCTTGTTTAGCACATTCCCTTTTTCATTAGATCCTATTCTAGTTTGTTTTCCCAGCTCTTAGTCCCTCTTGTTTCTTTTCTGAGTTGCACATTTCAACCCGACCCTCAGTTGCTCTGCACTCCTCTAGCGTCAGACCCAGCGCTCCTGACTACTAACATAAGGATTGTTAGTTTGATTCTTGCCCAGGGCGAACTCCCTGGTGCACTACATGTATAGTGATGGATTACATAATCTGTATTAATCAATCTGATTACAAAAATGAAATACCTGTAATCAGAACAAGATACTTTTGCAATGTGCATAATCACAACATAGTGTATTGATATCTGGAATCTGCGTCAGACTACATTTCTTAACCAACTCACAACCCTGGTTCTTTCGTACTTACAGTTGCTAGCTTAGACAAGCTTTACTGATCATTGGCAAAAATGTAATTCAACCTAATGCGGAATATTAATTTGTCAAAATATATCAATATCATGTTAAGACAGAAGTATGTTTTTGTTGTACAGTTGAGCTAATGTTAGCACAGTGGCTGGTTTATTGTTCCCAAACTGTCTAGGTTCAATTAACTATAACAGCACAGTCCACGATAAATAATAATCACAACAAAAATTCTAACACCAAGCTATGTAGTTCATTAACAGGCTATGGTTGCCAAGCAACATAAAAGTAAAAGACTCATTGGTTTTTAACATCATAGCACATTAATATAGTTCATGTGTTTGTTATTTTACAACATCATGCAGCCAATCAGGGTTTCGTACTAGAATCATCAACGTAGCGTCTTTCTGTAGCCCCCCTAGTGGTCACCCATCAGAATAACTGTCTCTCTGTGTTGTTACTCTGAGTTCAGCTGCTAATGAGTTTTCTGGATAAAACTGTGCAATTTTTTTTTGTTTTACATTTGAAAATTGAAATTTGAAAATGGCAGCTGTTGTTTACATTGTATTAAATTTTCATTAGTGCACCAATAGAAACTGAAATGGCTTTGAAAAAATCTTGTTCCATTAACGTTAAATTAATGTTAAGTTGCTATTTTGTAGATAGAAGGTTTTGTCGTCACTGCAGTCATATAGTCCATCTAAATTACTGACCACGTTTACATGCAGCCTGATAATCTGTTAATAATCCGACTAACAGCTCAATCAGAATAGACTAATCCAATTGAGGCCATTCAGAATACAGCTTCTACTTGACTGAATGAGGTGGGTAATCCTGTAAATCTGTTTAATAGAAGAATAATATCCGTGTAAATGCCTGTATCTGATTACATTCCCTATCAGAAAGTTTAAATCCGTTCTGATCACGTACGTCGCGTCATAGTGAGAGTTTATTCCGTTCAACATGGCGGAGCAGAAACTGGTCTGCAGAGGAGACGAAGTTTATGCTCTGATCTTTAAAAGACGGCGGTGGGACGGACGTCCAGCTTATGTGTCTCAGAACACGACGTCTTCCTCTCGGCCTTCTTTAATAAGGACATGTGAAGGACGTTTTCCTGAGTCTGACATCATTTTAAAGCAATTAAAAACACAAGCGCTGCTCACTGCTGCTCATCTCACTCTGACTGATCACGTGATGCTGGTTGTCATGGTCTACTCTAAGTGGTTCTCTACACATTTGAATAATTGTGCATCAGATTACTTGTAGTGTGAATGTAAATGGAGATTTTCCATCAGATTGTTGAGTGGAGTGAGCAGATAAACACCTCAGTCTTCATCTATAATCGGATTGTTTTCAATCAGATTGGCAGAAATCTCTGCATGTAAACACAGCCAGTGAAGAAAAACTGCACAGCGCAAAAACAGGCAGAAATTGCACTTTATGTTTTATGTTGGACTGAATGAGAAGCCTGGAGTTAAAGGGGGGGCTCAGTTAGGGAGAGGAGACGTACCTTGGTCTGAAATTTCTTCTTCCTGTCAGGCAGCAGGTAGATTTTGACGTAAGGGTCAGAGAAACCGTTGGCGTCTTTGGCCGGCAGGTCCAGAGCTTTCAGGATTTTGACCACCAGCTGCTCCGTGCTGCGGGAGAGACACACGTCAGCGTCACTGTAACTCACTTCCCAAACATTCCGGAGATTTCTGCGGCTCGATGGCCTCCAAGCTCGTCCGCCTGAACCTTTACCTAAACCGCACTGACATCAGAGGCAGTTTAACGTTGAAAGAGGCTGACAGTGAGGCTGCGTGTACAGCGGTCTGGTCAGGAGCTCAATCTATTCAGAACGCACTGCAGGGTCAGGTGGATGGAGCAGCTACAATACCTAAGTACAGCACTGGATTTCTCCACCGGAGAAAATCATACTTACAGTTATTTAAACTGGCAGTAGGCACTGATCTGCTCAGTTTAAAATATTATAATAAATGCAAATAATCAATAATAATAATCAAAAGTGGAAATATCACTGAAAACCATGCTTTAGTTCAGCAGTCAATATATGCAGATTGAGCTGCTAAAACAGCCTGTTTTGAATTCATCATGGTTGTGATGTCACAACAGTACACAGTTGTTTAGCCCTTTCATTGTACAGCAGTTTAGCTCCACTCATTCATCTTTAAGCAGTTTAGCTCCACCCATTCAGCCTACAGCTATTTAGCTCCACCTATACAGCCTATTGCTATTCAGCTCCACTCATTCAGCCTATTGCTATTTAGCTCCACCCATACAGCCTATAGCTATTTAGCTCCACCCAAACAGCCTATTGCTATTTAGCTCCACCCATTTAGCCTACAGTGATTTAGCTCCACCCATTTAGCATACAACACCTTAGCTCCACCCATTTACATCCTAGAGCAGTTTAGCTCCACCCACTGGGACTACTGGAGTATAGCTCCACCTATTCAGCCTACAGCTATTTAGCTCAACCCATTCATTCTACAGCAGTTTTGCCCAATCTATTTAGCTCTACCTATTCATCCTATGACAGTTGAACAGCAGTTTAGCAGTTTACCCTTCAAACCTACAGCAACTGAGCTCCATCCATTCAGCATACAACATCCATTCATTTACACTGGGACTCCAGCAATAGCGCTCCACCCAATTAGCCTACAGCTATGTAGCTCCACCCATTAGCCTATAGTTGTAGGCTACATAGCTACAACTGCAGAGTGTTGTTCCTGAAGACTGTAGCAGAGTAATGGCATGGCTAGCTGTCTAATGTTGAACATGATGAAAATGTGGAAAAATAAGACAGTCAATTCTTTATTTCTATCCGAGAATTCTCATTTTATTAAAGGAAATGACAGGACCCCCAAAATTGAACTTTTGGGGGTCCTTTCCTCTTATGAGAGCTCTGGGACCTCTTCAGCTCCTCTCTCTATTTAAACCGTGTCTATATGGTACATGTTTTAGTGGAAAAACGCCGCTCTGATAAATGGTTTTAAACAATTTTCCTGGCTGGGATCAGATTTTTCCATAATACTGTACATGAGGTAATAGATCTCCGATGTAAATATAAAATCCTAAATATTTAATGCGAACGTGTGCGTGTCTGTGGTGGACAGGAAGCGCCCTGAGCATGAAGCTTTATAAATAATCCATACCTTATTACAAACCTGACTATTGGTCATATACCACAGTGTGCGACAGGATGGACGTAACCGCAGCCTGACCGTGGTCTTTCGGGGACGGCCTCTGTGTTTGTGTAAGGATTTAATTAAGAGAGAGTGCGCTAATCTCTCTGGCCTCTAATCAGAGCTCGTTAGAATGTGTCTCAAGCTGTTAACGAGCGTGTCACCACTTCATTAAGGCTCTTAGAAACACAGCGGGATATCTAAAGGAGGCAGGGCTGAACAGGAAATCCAATCGCCAGGCAGATAAACACGTCAATCAGGACACGCGTCCAACCACGGCTGGGACTGACTATTGACTGACACGACAAAAGTCGCAACCAATCAGGAGAGGAGAAGGTAAACATGCTAATCAGGCGATCTCATCCAATTAGAAAGTCAGATATACATGACAAATCCCATTATATCCAGACAGGGATTAAGACACTCACAGCAATTATAAAATCAGGTCACATTAACAAATAAGACAACGTCTTAACACGATAGTTCAACGAAATTAGTTGATCAGCAAAGATATGTTTCGTATCTGAAGCTTTGTTTATTTAGCTTTGCACTGGAGTTACGAGTCGAATGTAGCAAACAAGTAATAGAAGCTTATTTACACCAATTAGCGTTGTGCTAAACTGTGTGGAGCTGTTAATTAATCTCTAATAGACCTGCCTATGTGCACACACTGCTATCTATAAACATGGACTAAAGTACATTAGCATAGCTAAAAACAGTAGCACCATCTTGATCTCTGAATTTTGCCCATGTTTAATAACAATAATAAAAACAATTCCCAAACGCAGCTATTGCTAATTGAAAGTTGTGCATACCAAATGTTTTAATAGTAGGTATGACGTGACACTTTTCAGGTGCTCGTTCGTAAATGCGCTCAATACATGGAAAAGGAAAGCATGGAAATCTGGAGAATACACATCCTGCTCGTTCTTTGCTGTGTTACAAAGCAAACAGATCTACTAAAAGCACATCAGGTATGTTTTTTCACATTCGCTGCAAGATTAGCATGTTATACATCACATCTCGTAAACTCCTGTATCGTCTAGAACCCTGAGTTGTAAATATGACTTTGTCGGCCATTCAAGCACAATTTACAATTTACTGGTTTCCCGTCTCTGGAACGCAGCATAAACGCTATTAGCTTCCATTACTTGTTGATACATTAGCTTTATAGCTGGTGTTGGCGGGATGATTGGGCCCATTAACATATATGACATATTGGAAGCCATTTACTAAACATTTCAACTACAGAATAAGACAGAATAATAGAGAAATAACAAGCATATTAAAGTTATGTCGGACATTATTTCTTCTTGATGCATTTCTTTGAGTTTTATGTATCCCAGATTCAGTTTTTCTCCCCTGTTTTCAGGTCAGTGTTTAGCAAACACATCAGAGTATTTTTCCACTCCACAAAGTATCGGAACCTTTGGAACTGTGCTTTCTTTGCTGTGGTGTACCGAAGGTTCCAGTTTTATGTTTCTGATATCTGCTCAAGTCCTAATGGTACTCCAGGGTGTTCTCCTCTGTGTTTGGAAACACATGCAGCTAAATCCATCAATTTCAAGTCATCCAGCATTATGAACTCATCAATAAGAGCACCAGAATGTGAGCTAAAGTGGTATGTTGATGTGTTGATTGCTATTTGTAGAATTATTAATTGGTAAAGAGTTTGTAAAGGAAACATGTGCTAGTTAGGAAGGGAATGCTAATGCTATTAGCCTCCTAGGGTTGCCATCTGTGTGGTTTTGACCAAGAAAGTCCAATTTTCAGGTTGTGTGTCCAGGTTTGACAGGTTAAACTACTTACAGGATTTGTCACTTCCACCCTTCTATTGTGATTTTTTTGGCCAGTTGTGTCATTTAACATAATTGGCATTTTTTCAAACTGTATTACCAAAGAATTCAACACACGGATTACCCAAGAATTCAAGGCATTGACTACCAAAGAATTCGAGGCACGGATTATCAAAGAATTCAAGGCATGGATTACCAAAAAAATCTGGGCACAGATTACCAAGGAATTCAAGGCAGGGATTACCAAAAATTCAGGGCACAGATTACCAAGGAATTCAAGCCGTGGATTACCAAAGAATTCAAGACATGAATTACCAAAGAATTCAAGGCACAGATTACCCAAGAATTCAAGCCATGGATTGCCAAAGAATTCAAAACACAAATTACCAAAGAATTCAAGGCATGGATCAAAGATCCAAGTGATTTAGCATCTGCAAAATGTACTTCACTGACAGCATTTCTGTCATGAGAGACCATTAAAATTTAGATCACAATAAACTCAAGTGGCATTCTTAATCAAATCTAAAACAGCTGGAAGCATTAGGGGTGAGCCTAATGGAGGTCTGACTTGTGTGGGCGTAGAGGGGTCTGGTTTTGGCTTGTTGAGAACGTGGTGACCCTACCGCTTCAGCAGAAGTGTTTTTGCCTGTGTGTTCACCCTTGAGAGGAAGTCTAGCACAATGCAGCAACAAGACTGCTAATCAGCCAGATTAGATGCTTTAGAGTGGTTATTATGACAGTTCCAGCTGTCTCTCAAGCAGGCTGAACCACAAATGGACCACAATGAGAACTGAGTGTCTGCTGGTTGACGTTTGGATTAGTTCTTGTTTTTGAACGGTCAGTGGACAAACACCTATCCCAAAAAGAAGTGCCAATAAATTACCAAATAATTCAAGGCACGGATTACCAAATAATTCAAGGCACGGATTACCAAATAATTCAAGGCACGGATTACCAAAGAATTCAAGCCATGTATTACCAAAGAATTCAAGCCATGTATTACCAAAGAATTCAAGGCACAGATTACCAAACAATCTGAGGCATGGATTACCAAAGAATTCATAGAGTTCAAAATGTAAGCGCCTGCTGGTTGGTGTTTGGGTCAGTTCTTGTTGTTGAATGCCCAGTGGACAAACACCTATCCCAAAAAGAAGCGCTTCAAGGCATTCAAGAAAAATTACCAAAGAATTCAAGGCATGGATTACCAAAGAATTCAAGGCATAGATTACCAAACAATTCGAGGCACGGATTACCAAAGAATTCAAGGCATGGATTACCAAAGAATTTGAGGCACAGATTACCAAAGAGTTCAAAACATGAATTTCCAAAGAATTCAAGGCATAGATTACCAAACAGTTCGAGGCACGGATTACCAAAGAATTCAAGGCATGGATTACCAAAAAATTTGAGGCACGGATTACCAAAGAATTTGAGGCAAGGATTACCAAAGAATTCAAGGCATGGATTACCAAAACATTGTAGGCACAGTTTACCAAAAAATTTGAGGCACATATCACAAAAGAATTTAAAGCACAAATTACCAAAGATTTCAAGGCACGGATTACCAAAAAACTCAAAGAGGTCAACTGTAAGTGTCTTTTGGTTGGCGTTTGGGTCAGTTCTTTTGTTTTTCAATGCTCAGTGGACAAACACCCA